TAATGAGGTATGGACTAAAAGCGGCAGCTGCTCAAGCGCCATTTGTAAGCTCAAAGTCTACCTCGGTCTGCTTCACGTCAGTCCGGTTCTATCTATCCATTCATAATGTAACCAGTCACTGAAAAGCCCTGATATAGGGAGTGTGCTGTGAAATATCTGTAATCTGTAATCTGTAAAATCAAGTGTACTATCAACTTCCTTCTCATGCTATGCAAATAATTTCCCCATGAAACGAATGTATTTTTATGTGCGTGAACATCAACCCATAATATAATCATGTAACAAAAATATCCTTTCTCTAATCATGTCACATAAATTTCCTTTTATATTTTGACCAATTTTAATTATCACTTTATTTTGACCGTGTTTAATTATCATTTGCTACCCCCTCCGCCCCCGGGGGAGGGAGAGATACAGGGGTTTGAGGGAAGAAGTACCGTAAATGAGGAGATAAAATGGTAGTCAAAGTTTCTTCCAACTGTGCAATGATTTTCTCCCTTAGAAAGAATTCTCTTCAAAAATGAAAAATTGCAATAGTGTGAACAATTGGCGCAGGGTCCGTAACACTAAAAATGTAAAGAGTGCTGTATTGACATTTAAATGGAATTCCTATTGGAATCACATTTTATTGGGCCAATTTAATATTTCCTTTATTTTTCTTATTCAAAAATGTCAATTCTTGCGAATTTAGTTAAATATTAACCAGGTGAGAAGGGATCAATTTAATGTGGACTTTCATGCAGGCGATACATTATCGGAAATCAAACGTCTGCCATATACTTGCAGTTGCGGAAATCAGCACTTTTTCCGGTGGGGGGGGGGCAAAGCCTCCTAAATTTCCGACAAAACTTTCAAATTTCCGACATCCCCCCCCCCATTTGCACTCGAAAATACTTTTTTAGCCCTCTTTTAGATCAAAATTTCCGAAAATTGTCAATTTTCCGGAAGGTGGGGAGGGGGCGGCCGCCCCCACCCCCGCCCCATCAAGATTTCCGCCACTGTATACTTGCTATACTACTAGCCAACATCTCTACACCACAAACTGTGCAGACAACGCCTCATTCCTATGGTTTAAATGTTGTGACATTAGAACATTTATTAGTAATATTACATGTACAAAAGAAAATGACAATGAAAACTTTTACCTGCACAGTGGGTGATTTGGTTCCTTGATTCGTTTTGCTCTGGCATAGACCATTGTCAACAAAGCCATTTACATTGTTCTGCGCACCCAAATCCTTCGCTAATCTTTCGAATCGTTTCGCCAAGCTAGCAACCGATTCATGCTGGTGATTATTTTCTGACGTGTCCATGCTGTCCATCAATTACTGTATAACTCGAAGATCTAGACTATATACGTTTCAGCCCCCCCCCCCCCCCCCCCC